TTTGGATGGGGGTCTTTAAATTTGGGGAATCTAATTTTTTCAATTCTTTATATGTTATAGAGGGACAACTGGCTTAAATTTTTTCCCACTCTGAGGGCTGTCTTCTCACTTTATTGGTAATTTACGTTGCTGTACAAAAGCTTTTTAATAAAATGAGATCCCAAGGGGCTGGGGATTTAGCTCAGCGGCATAAGCACCTGCCTTGCAAGCAGGCGGTCGTGAGTTCGATTCCCGGTACCAATAAAAATGAAAAAGACCAAAAAAAAATAAATAAATAAAATGAGATCCCAGTTGTTGATTCTTCCTAGTATTTCCTTTGTGATCAGGGTTTTTTCATGAAATTTTTGCTTATATCCATCATAGACTGTTTCTTTTAGTATATGTTTGTGACACATAATGATTACACTCATCTTGCTACCTACAGATATTCATATTTTATAAGATATCTAAAAATATTCATATTTTATAAGGTATCTAAGTTTTATAAGTATTACAGTGTTTTTTCCCTTGTCTCACTTACAGTGGTTGCCTTCTTGTTAGTAATTTAATTTATTTGAGAATTTTTCCTGAACAACAAAATTCACGAGTCAGGTTCAGTTTTTCATGTGTGCATACTCTGTTTTCTTTAAAGTTCCTATTAAATCATCCCTGTCCATATCTTGTGAAATGCATTGTTATCATGAAACTGATCCTAAAAATCATTATTTGAAACAATTCATTGCTATTTCTTTTGGTCTTTGCTTTACTATTTCTTTTTCTAAATCCATACTTGAAACAAGCCCTGTTGTGGAAAAATTCAGATGTATCAGTCAATGCTTACTAGAGAAACAGATTTAATGGAAGATAATATACAAGTATGTAAGAATTTACAAGATTGGCCTACAATGGACACCCACAGAGTCGGGTGTGTAACAGTGTGAAAGGGACCTCTGTGTGCTGGAAACCTGTCCAATTAATGCTGCTAGGTGTGGAGTGGGGCTGAAATATTCTGTTCAGCTCACACTGAAGTGTTGTGGTTGCCTTGGGCCTTCGCACTATATCAAAATGCATGCTCAGAGATGGAACCATCTATGAGCTAAATCCCAGGTTTGTTACACGAGGCACAGTGCCCAGCTGAACACAGCTCAATTTATTCTGTGAGCCTCTGCCATCAGCCTGTTTTCCTCAGGACTGCCACAACAGCTCTGTCCATAGGTTTCCAAGGTTATGGGGAAAATGCTGAATTCCTCCTAACATAGGTCAGTTTCCTTCCTGAAATAAAGCAATGCTCTTCTCTCTGATTTCTGTCACAAAATAAACTATTTGAAAATCACTCATTTACCAGGGATGGGAGGATGGAGAAGTAACGATTGCATTGGTCTAGCACACATTTTATGCATACATGGTTGTACTGCACTGAATCTGATTAAAATGTTGTCTCAGTCACTTTCCTAATTGCTCAGTACTCAACACCAGCACCTTCGGGGAGGAATCACTTGCCAAAGTTTGCAGAGGATCCAGAGTAAGACAGCATCGTAAGGAACGTGGCAGAGAGTTGTTCATTACATGGTAAACAAGAAGCAGAGAGAGAAAAGAGGGGACCCAAGAGGGAGACAGTAAAGCCATCCAGGCCCCCAGTGACCAACAGCATCACGACAGGCTCACCCTCCCAACACTAAGACAGCTACCAGCCCCCATAAGGCAACTGTCCTCCACAAACCCCACCCCTGAGACCAAGAGACCATGGGGAACCTCTAAACCCAAACCATAACATTTCACCCCAGCCCTCCAAAGACACATTTCAATCACTTTATGCAAAATGCATTTAGTCTATTTCTAAGAATTGCCAAAGTCCAGCAGATTCAGCACTGCTGCAAAGTTCAACTCCAAAGCCTCCTTTGAGATTTAAAGGAAATTCTTCACTGTGAGCCCCTATAAAGAATCAAAAATTGAAAAGCTGCTGACCTACCATGTCACAGGATAAACATTCCCATTCCAAAAGAAAAGAATACTGGGATAGAAACCAATGTGACAAAATCAATACCGAAACTCAAAAGGGCAAACATTCCTGAAGTTCTGTGTCCAGGACCTGAGGCAAGTTGTTGCAATATGTGAATGCCCGAGGGCTTCTGTGGGCCTGCCTGTGAGGCGTTACCAGTGGTTGCAGCCCTCATTGTCTGGGGCTGATCTTGCTCAGTGCTTGTGGCTTTTTCAGATCTTGCAAGTTCTTGGTTTTTTCAGTTTTCTGGGATCTCCAACCCCACGTCTGGCTTTTACTCTTAGAGCCTAATGCACTGCCTTCTCAGAGGTACCCTGCCTGGCCTTCTGAAATCTGACTGGAAGCCTCACTGGCTCACAATTTTTGCATTCTGCATTTCTGTAAAAACAACACCACAAGGACGAAGCCAAGGCCTGCTGCCCGGGAGAACAGTAGCTAGGCTCACTTGAACTATGACTCCTGTGCCTTCTGAGTGCCTAAATGTCCAAGCACTTTGAACTGAATCCCAAGGAATCAATGTTCACAGCTGCATTCTCCTTCTCTAGCAGAGTGCCCTGGAGCTCACTCCTTCATGCAAAGTCTTTCTCCTTTGCAACTTTAAGGTCCTGCTGGTTCAAGCCATCTTTCATCTTGTTCTGTTGTAACACAATTGACTTCTTTTCAATGGTAATCTTTTTAACAACAAAACCCTCCCTAGCTTCATCTTTTTAGGTCCAAACTTTATAGCAGTTTCCTTTCTGGCCAAACTCAAAATTTTTCAATCATTCAGCTGGGCCATTGGCCCTTGATTCTCAATGCGGAGCTGGTTAAAAGTCCGCAACAACACCCAAACCACAACCTGAACATTTGGCTGCCTTGAAATTTCCTCCACCAGATAAATTAGCCTGCCATCCTTAATCTCAGGACATGAGCAAAACGCAAACAAATTTTCTGCCAGAACATAATACACATGATCTGGAGTCCAGCTTCTAATGTAAGACGTTCTTGTTCCCAACTAAAACCTCTTGAGTCTGGCCTTTTCTGTTTGCATTTCTAGCAACATTCTGTTCTTCTGCACTCTGTCCAGAGTCTCCCAGTTTGGTTTAATGCATTCTGGGGCTTCTTCTCCAGCTGGCCTCTCCAAACCTTTCCAAACTTCTGTGCACCCTTTCCAAAATCTCCTGAATCCCCTTATCAGGTGACATCACAGCAGTGGCCTCACTCCCAAGTCTCCACATCTATTTTAGTCTCTTTCTTCATTCCTGGGAAATAAAATACACAACCCCTAAAACTTAAGGGAGGAAAGATTTGTTTTGGCTAAGAGTTTGTAGAGGTTTTGGCCGTATTTGGTTGGCTTCCAGGAGGGACAGAGGACACATAGCAGAGGAGTGAGTGCTGCTTATGGTGACAGGAAGCAGAGAGACAACCAGGGAGGATCTAGGAGGGAGCTAAAACCCCAGTAACCCGCATCTGACCTGACCCCACCTATAAATGGCAAGTTAGTTACAAACTCCCATAGTCCAATAGTCCTCCTAAAGTCCACCCCCTTAGAGCCTTAGGCCGTGGGGGGATCTAGATACAAACCACAACAAAACACAATTAGAGTATGTAAATAAAAACATGTCTTAGCATTTCTTTCTCTTTGTTATTTTTGCCTTCTTAAAAGATTGTTTTGTTTACCACACTTCACCCTGTCTCTTGAAACACAAATTTGAATACAGAAAGTAATTAAAGGCAGTCTTTTCTGTGTAAGAGGGAGGCACGGAGAAAAGAGGAGGGAAGAGAATATGGAAAAGGAAAGCATGTAGAAGTGTTATATATAAATATGAATCTCCCAAAACAGAAGCATATTTTATTACACCAACGATAAAATTAATGAACTACCAAAAATGAAAGACATTAACACTATCGATGGTTTTGTTTTTACCCAATGAAACATGCACCTGGGAGAGAGAGTAATGACAGTGTATTAAAGTTTAAGTAAGGAATCCACAATTTAATCATTCTTATATTTTCTCAGATCTGCATGTAATTATAACCAATAAGTTTATAAAGAAAACAGTGGAATAATAAATTATTTAATTCAAAGACATCCAATAAAGAGACCTCTTTCAACTAAATGACAGGGTAGGGTAGGAGGATGAAGGATGAAATATCAAATTTAACCGTAATTACATAAAATTTTCCCGCACAAAATAGTAATTTCTTTTTATTACCTGTGTGAAATGTTACATAGAGTTGATAAAAAGTGTATTAGATATTTTACTGACGAGTTTTTACGTAGTCTCTCATTTTTTCTCTCAGCCAGTTATATATGAAAATTTACACAAACCTACTAATTCTATACAGTTTATTTAAATATGTTTAAATATTGCAAGTCTATTTAAAGTACTGCTATCCACTGGACTTGGTGCTGCTTGCCTATGAGCATAGAATGCTGGGTGGCCAAGCAGGAAGAGGGTAATTTGAGCCCAGTCTGGGCAACTTAGTAATTTAGGAAGTTACTGTCTCAAAAAAAAGAAGAAGACACTGTCTCAAGTTTTAAAAATAAAAATTAAAATTGTAAAAAAGGGGGTGGGATCTTATTTTAGTACTGTACAGGCCCCAGGTTCAATCACTGTACCCCAATAAAATGGTTTAATTCCGATATTAATAATATATTGATGAGCTAGTAGATATGTGAGATAGATTAAACCTGCATAGATCAAATCCCACAGATCAAAAGATCAGATTTTATCCTGTAAACACATACAATTGTTACTTGCCAATTAAAATGTTAAATGCTCTAATAAAAAATATTGCTGATCTTAACTGCAAACTGAGCGAGAAATGTATTTAACATTTTCTTCATGGAAAGTATTTAACAATGCCAGTAACTCTACATATTTTGCTGCTGAAAAAGGGATTTAAGACTCCTTCATGACCCACGGATGTGTCCCATGGTTGATCCGAAGACTAGATTATCTGCTGATTGGATTATGGGCGGGTTAACTTCAACTCGGGCCGGGATATCTTTTCCCCTCCTTAATAAAAGGGGACGGAGATGCGGGTCTTGCTGCATTTTGCAGCAAGTCTCAGCCTGTCTGCATCTCAAGAACAGAGCCGGCCAGACGGCAGCAGTGACCATGGGGGAGCCAGCAACACACACAGCACCGAGCCAGCCTTGTGTGGTGAGTGTGGGGTGAGTCAGGATGGCAAGCATGTGCTTGGTGTACTTTTCCCTCTGGTTAAACCTCCTTAAACTGTGTGTGGTGATGCATGCCTATAATCCCAGCACTCTAGAAGCCTAAGACAGGAGGACTGCAAATTTGTACCCAGCCTGGGAAATATAGCAAGTAAGCAAGGCCCTCTCTCAAAATAAAACATAAAAAATGTGCTGGGAAGTTGATTCATTGTGAAGCAAAGACACTGGACTCAGTCTACACATGGAAGAGAGAAAAAAACTCTTTAATTTGCACAGTTATTCTTTTCTTTTTTGAAAATAGAGTGCTAGTATATTGTTCAGACTTTTTTTGGATTCCTAAATCCAAGACATCCTCCTGCCTCAGCCTCTCAGATAGCTGGGACTACAGACATACAGATGGTGGACAACTGAGAGCTACTCTTCAAACAAATGATGTCTTAGGGAAATTTTCCTAAATGTTAGTACTTATTGAGTAAAATTAAAGATGCGGCTAGGCACTGCTTAAATGATGAGTTTTAATTCGAGAAAAGCACTGCATGCTGATTTTGTCACATGTGGATGTCGGAGCCTGTGCTTACACAGTTTTACGTGTGGTGCGTCAATCGCTGTGTGTGAAGCTTGTAGTCCTGCCCTCTCAGATCCAGCTAGGCTGGGGGGCAGCAGCAAAAAGAGGATAGTGACAGGGAAGAGAAGCGAGTCACATCCTCAGAGGAGGATGCAGGGACAGGGTCTGAGGCTGAGGCCCACCCCAGGCCCACTTGGGTCCCTAACATCTGAGTTGTAACAAACTTTCCAGATGGCTGTGATGCAGTGTGATTTCAGATATTTCTGCAGGGAGGGGAAGGGGAAAGAGCTCAAGGAACCCAGGAAATTCTCCAGAGCGGGGAGCAGTCTTCATCTCCCATTTCGTTTAAATTTCACCTTTTATTCTGTCTTAAAGGGAAAGCACAAACGCATGATATCCCAGAATTTACAGAAGAAACAAGTTCATGCCTCCAAGGCAAAGCAAAGACCCGCCGCGGGTTCCGCCCTCCCCGTGAGACTGACCAGCTGCATCTTCCCGAGGCCGGTGACTCTCATCACCGCCCACCCTGGCAATGAGGTCAATTGTGGTCCACAGGAGGACGAGCTGGAGAAGCCCCAGCAGCTCTGCGCAAGCTGGAGGCTGCAGGCAGTCAGGCACCAAGGCACCAAAGGAGAAGTTTTAAGCCAATCGGATTTTGCAAAAGCCTCCAGAGTGATGACTGTAGCACATCGCCGTGGATCCCGGGGCCAGCCCGCTGTTGAGAGCCTGCATGCCACCCTTGGCCTGTCTCCGTTTTGCACAGAGATGATCCCGGAAGCTTTCCATCTTTTACCTCCCGCTTACAACCAGCAGGTCACTGCTGCAGACATCCAGAGTCAGATGGAGAAGGTGAAGAAAGCCAGGGAGAGACTGGCCAAGGCCTTGCAGGCAGACAGGCTGGCCAGGGAGGCAGAGAGGATGAGCGACCCGGAGGAAAGGGCTGAGAACCAGAGGGGAACAGGAGCAGAGACTGTTGGAGGGTCCCGATGTGAGGCCGCGGGAGAGAGGGTTTCACCATAAGAGACATTTCCAACTGCCTTGTTTCTTGTAATAGCAATCCTGCCCCTCCAGTGATCTTGTAACAGCCAAACTCTTTCTGTGAGACTAGGATGTGAAGAGTTGATAGTTTTGTAACATTGTTTCATACGAGCAGAAAAAATACTCTTTCCTTATAACTGTTTTATTTCACCCTACAATTATTTTTATCTTTTTACATTAAAATCCAGTTTCTATAACTTGAGGTATTACTTTGTGTTTTATATGTACACATTTCTCTCATAATACTTATATTCAAGGAAGAGGTGGTACCTACTCCAGAGATTCTTTTTTCTCCATATTTCTCATTTTTAATACATATAAGTGGTAGATATTAAACGGATTCACCCAGCCATTGCCATATATGTATATATCAAGTTTCGGTCACTTGCAAACTCCCTCCATCCTCCCAATTCTCTCTTCTGCCTCCTCCCCAAAAGTCTATACCCCAGAAAATGGGTCATGATTTACCCAGGTTTTGTTTCCTGCCAGACTTAAGTTTAGAAGGTGTATGGGTGGGGTCCACAGTGTGTGAACCACCAGTCTGTGGCCTCCTGGGATCAAACATCACACCAGTGAGCAAGAGGGATTCACCATCAGAAGGAGACTTGCCCTGAGCTTTCATTTGTACACACATCTGGTGTTATGGTTGATACATTGTGTAAATTCAAGAAGTCCAGAAGCTTAACTAAGTAACTCAGGAGCTCCACATCCTGGGGTGTGGAGGACATGCCCTTACCACTCACTGTAGGACGCTGTTCACTGTGTTAACTTGAGAAGTTTAAAAGGTTAACTGACTCAGCAGGGGGCCAGGGTCCTCACTTGGTAAACATCCTCAGCCTGTGCAAGAGGAGGGCAAGGGGGTTTTGTGAGTGCTGCACCCACCCTAGAGAGAGATGTCTTGTGTACAGTATAAGGGAGGAAAAGAGGCTTGGTCTTCCCCCTTTTTGATCTTGTTTTGCTGTCTTCTTCCTGAAAGTGTTGCCCCTGTGCCATGCCATCTCACCTTGGAGCCAGTTAATTGTGGACTGAAATCTCCACATACTGTGAATTAAATAAACCTTTCCTTCCTTAATTTTGGGCACTTAGTATTTGTCTCAGCAACAAGAGAATATTAACCAAGACATCTGAGAAGAGATATAATTTGCTCAAACCTAATGTAAAATAAATACCTCCTAATGAATAGTTTCTTTTCCCTTGAATTAGAATATTATAGTGAGAGTTCTAGTCCAAGCATTATTATACTCAAAAGGTGGGAAAGAGTTTGACTAGCTACAATGAAAAGTTGAATTTGATTTTTGTGCTATTTGAAGAAAAATTTAAAGGATTAGATTATGCAGAGCCTGGGGCTGGGGATTTAGCTCAGCAGCAGAAGCGCCTGCCTTGCAAGTGCGTGGTCATGAGTTCAATCCCTGGTGCTGATTAAAAAAAATAAACTACAAGAAAAAAAGACTACGCATGGCCAGTGAGACTCAGGACATACATGTGACATTTATAACTTTTAAGGCAATATTCTGGGTTTTTATGGTTGGAGTGAGACTAAACCTAGTGCTACAATTCATTTAGTAATAGCACAGCCTTGACCCTGCCATTTACACCCATAGCTTGTTTGCACACAGGCCAGGAGAGAGGTCTCACCCAGCTCACACCACCCAAAGGAGATGCCTAAAGTGCCCCAAGGAGAGGAGAGAGGCCTTGCCCCACTCTACCATCAACACAGGCCACCTCAAATACCCTGGGGGAGGGGAGAGGAGAGGCTCCACCCTGCCCCACCAACAACTGCAGCCTCATCTCTCTTGTGGTAAATGAGCGAGCTGCCACCCCAATCCCAATACCAGTGCCTCACACGCTCTGTGTGGGCCAGGAGGAGGGCCAGCCAAACTGCCAAATCTTAGCAGCTCTGCACCTTGGTTCTCCTCAACACAAGGCAGCAGGGTGACAGTCAGAAGATCAGCCTTACGTTGATATTCACCTCACCCCAAGAGAATGGCTACTATCAAGAAATCAAGCAATAACAAATGCTGGAGGGGCTGTGGGGGATTCACTGTTGCTGGGAGTGTAGACTGATTCAAATCAGTGTGGAGATTCCTCAAAAGCTAGGACTAGAGGTCCCATTCAACCTAGCTTCCCCTGCTGGGTATCTTCCCAAAAGAATTAAAAAACATCATACCACACTGGTATTATGTGCACCCATGTTTATAACAGCACAATTTGTAAGAGCCAGATCTCAGAAACAACCTAAATGCTCATTGACTGAGGAATGGATAAGAAAAAGATGTGGTATTTTTATACAATTGAGTACTACTCAGCCATAAAGAAGGATAAACTGGAGCCTTTTTTAGTAATGCAACTTGAGAGCATACTCATTAGTGAAATAAATAACACATGCATGTGTAAATATTGCATTGTCTCATTAGTATGAGAAGCTGAAAGAAATAACATATGTGTATGTATATTTTTTTAAAAGTTAAGACAAAAAGATTTTTTTAAAAAAAGACCAACCTGATTGAGGATGAGACCAACATCCAGGAGAAGAGTTTCACTCCAGGTTGAAGTGGAACCCTGCAGCAGAGATCAGGTGAGATGTAGCCGTAGGACAAAGGCTTGAAGAAAATGACATCTCCTGAGATTCCCTGGAGACACTCTACCTCAGATCAGGAAGATCATGAGACCTGTAGTCTCTGGGGGGATCCCAGGTTTGGTGGGAGATCATGGACCCTGTAGTCTCTGGGGGAGTCCCAGGTTTGGTGGGAATAATCTTTAGATCTAAAGTAGGAGGCATTTAGGACAGTAGTCTGCTTGAGCTTTTGTACCTCTGCATACATCCATCTGAAACTAGTGGTCTGTTATACTATAGGTCACTATCCGGATTACCTAACTATCTACACTAAAATCATGACTTCTTTGTTGTAGTTAATGGGGGTTTATAAGACATTATTAAGGTTTTTAAGTATCTAGTTATTGGACTCCATTTTTGTCACCAGTATACTACTATAGCCAAGGTGACACGGTCAGTGCTGTCAACTGGTTTTCTCTGTATGCCAGTATCTAGAGTGCTAGAGGGTCATAAACAATACAGTTGTTCACTGCCAAAGAACAAGGCACTGCACCAAAAAAGATGTAAACATCAGCACAGAAAACAAACAAAACAAGGCTACAAAATGCCTCCAAAAACTCCCAACTCCATCAAAATTAACCCAGAAAACACTGAGGAGTAGTAAATCATAAACCACACAGCAGAAATGTCTGAAAGGATATTGTCTTGGTTATTTTTCTCTCGTTGCTGAGACAAAATACCCAACACCCAAAACTAAGGAAGGAAAGGTTTATTTAGCTTACCATTTGTGGAAGTTTCAGTCTGCCATCAGCTGGCTCCAAGGCAGGGTGGCATGGCACAGGAGCAATAGTCCAAGCAAAAGCAACAAAAGCAGAAGTGGGGGGACCCCTCATACGGTCAGCAGGCTACCGGCACCCTCAGGGTGGATGCAGCACTCACACCATCTTCCTGAATTCACTCCTGTTGCACAGGCTGAGGATGTTCACACAGTGAGGACCCTGGCTGCCCGCTGAGTCATTTAGTTAAACTTCTAAACTTCTCAAGTTGACACAATGTATCGGCATTATAGATATCAATGTCAGTAACAAAACAGTAAGTGACTTGGCAAATTCAAAGACGGTATAACTAAACACATGGAGCAAATAATCAGTGAGTCTAGAGAAGACACTAATAAAAATCTAGTGGTGATAAAGAAAGATGCAACGCATGAATGTCCAGTACAGAAAAGAATGGAAGTCCATAAAAATGTTACAAAGGAAAACCCAAGAGGTTAAAAATATTATTAAAAGTATGGACAGCAGAAATGAACAGTGTGAGGACAGAGTGTCAGATCTAGTAGATAATGATGAAATAATGAAGGATACATTTAAAAAAAACAAGAGAACATGAAAAATGGGTCCAATAGCTGCTAGATGACTCAAAGAAGATTAATATAAGAGTAATTGGAATTAAAAATCAGAACACAACACAAAGGACTTATAAACACCTGTTTACAGAAATAATAGTAGAAAACCTTCCAGACATAAAAAAAAAATTTAGTATGAAGATAAGTGAGACATATTGAACCGTAAATAACCATGATCAAAAAATGCACATAATGATTAAAACATAAAAACTGGATGTGGTGGCACATTCCTGTAACCCTTGCACTCAGGAGACTGAGGCAGGAGGATCTCCGTGAGTTGAAGGCCAACCTGGACTCATGGTGAGTTTAAAGCTACCTTGAATCCTGTAGATAGTGGAATAGTGACACCATGTCTCAAAAAACAAAACAAAATAATTAGTAACAACAGTCATAAAAATGCCAGAAACCTAAAACAAGAATGGAATCTTAAAAGTTGTTAGGGAAGGGGCTGGGGATTTAGCTCAGCGGCATAAGTGCCTGCCTTGCAAGCAGACAGTCGTGAGTTCAATCCCTGGTACCAATAAAAACGAAAAAGACAAAAAAAAAAATACAAAAGTTGTTAGGGAAAAGCAAAGAACCGTTTATAAAGGAAAATTCATTTTAAAAAAGGAAACTCCATTAGAAATACAGCTCAACACAGACACGAAATAAATTGCTTCAAACCCTAAAAGAAAACAGCTTCAGATGCAGCACAAATCCAAACACACTAGGCCATCTTATATTTGAAAAAGGGGCCAGGTGTCCCTCAGACAAAGGACTTCTCTTTAGAACGTATAAAGAACTGAAAAAATAAAGTTTCCCAAATTCAAAGACCCAATCCAAAAATGGGAGTCTGAGATTAGTAAGCACTTCTTACATGAAGAAATACAAATGGCAAATAAATACATGAAAAAATTTTCAGTATCTTTGGTCAGTAGAAAGATACAAATTAAAACAACACTGAGATTCCATCTCACTCCAGAAAAAATGACTATCATCAAGAAATCAACCAATAACAATGCTGGAGGAGCTGTGAGGAAAAAG